TCTTGACTCATTAGCTTGAATTTTGTTGTGACGATGTTACCTCGCTCTGATGATGTCCGTCATATGACGGTCGAAAACTTAGCACCTTTTCACCCGAATCGAAAGAGATTGCCTCGGAAACAGCGTCAGCATGAATCTTCCATTAAAGCCAATCGACAGCTGGTCAAAAGGAATCCGCCGTCGTCTTCTGGTGGAACCGGTTCGAATCTCTTCACCCAACACTTCTACTCGAAATGGAAGTAAGCTCAACAAGAAAGATAATTAGCCAAACCACTAAATCTATTTAGGTTTTTAATTTTCTTTTGCTTTATTGAGTCTATATAGGAGGTAAGATAGAGCCGGATAGTCTTCTTGGCCTAGTGTTAACGTAAGACTTTCATAGGAATGAGACTCAGCTCTGATGATGTCCATGGTATGATGGACGAAAGATCGGCCCGTTTTCACCCGAAACAAGGAAGGATGTCTCGTGGACTGCGTCAACCTTAACGTCGTATAAAAGCCAAACGGCTGCAGTATATACGGGATTCATCCGTCCTCTTCTGATGAGATCGACCTACGAAATGAAAGTCCTCCAACCAGACCTAGTTTATCTTGGTATTTTACATTTAACGGCAAGATCAAGGAGCAAACATTTAGACTACCCATGGGTTCTCCACTCTCACATCTTTTGGCAAATATATACATGGACAGATTGAAGAAGGAATTCGAGAAGTTACCGCTGCAACCAAGAGTGCTTATGAGATACTTGGAATACTACTTTGCACTTTGGTCGCATTGTAAGGACAATTTAAATGAGTTCCTCAATTTTATAAACCAACTTGATTGAAATATTAAATTAACAATCATAACGAGCAGATTTGACCTAGAATTGTATTAAAATAAGATCATAACTCGGGAGGACGACAAAAAGTGGATATGTTTGCTTCCTGTGAATTGAGCCAGAAATTGCGACCTTTGCTAAGATAATTGAATATCAAGTTAATAACAAAAGGAAAGACCACAAACACTCTTTACAAGCCTGTTGACGCAATACGAGAAGGTTGACAAACTAGATTGCCTAGGAGTCTAAAACATCAAATGCGGCAACTGTGAGCAGAAGTGTATTGGTGAAACAGGAAGAAAAATTAGCCTACAATTCACGGAACACCAAAGACTCTGTAGAAGCATGGACACTGAAAGAACCGAAATAGCGGAGCACTTCGCACAAACGGTACACGAAAACGAGTGGAAATCGACAGAAAGGCTGGCTGCATATGCTGGAACTACAAGAAAACGTAAGAAATGAGAAGACATTGATATCCTGACTAAAGAGACGAGTTGTAGTGTAGTGCTAAGAGTGGCAAAACTCACTGAAAATGCCGACTACGAAGCTGGCGAAACATCTGGGAATGTACCACTTCCACGGTCCAACTTTGGACATTATTTCGGACTAGATGCTTTGCTATAAGTCTTCCTACCAATAGGACTGAGTTGCGAAAACAAGGTCAAACAACTTCTATACAAAGAAAGGAGACTGCGACCACACAAAAGGCCACAC